TTTTCATGCTGCTGGACTTGACTCTTGCGTTAATTCAGATGTCCACGCAGCTCGTCCTGCCAAAGAATATTCAGCTCCAGCTCGACCTCGAAGGGAACTCCCTCTGTCCTTTCGTCTCTTTGTGTGTTCCTTCTTCTTGGGGTGATCGAATTCCTTTTCTTTCGACCTCACTCGTGCCATTGGCGCTGAGTTTTACATGAGCGGCTGCAGGAGCACCGTTCTTAGAAGAGCAAAAGAGGATGGAACATGGACATCTATCGTCATGGGTCTCAGACCGGTCAGACCGGGGTCGCCGAGGTGCACAAGATGTTGCCCATGACCTTGGGCGCCAACATCGGCACCACCTTCACTGCGCTCCTCGCTGCTTTAGGAGTCTTAGCGCCTGAGACCCTGCAGATCGCCCTTTGCGCCTTGGTGGGGTGGAAGGACGGTGCGGATCGCGTGGTGAGCGGACGAGAGATACACTAGTGGATAGTAGCTGCTACTACTAGTAGCTACTCTCCACTGCACGACTTGAAAAGGCCATTTGGCCCCCTGCGTCCATGGTTGAGTATCTTTGGAATGTTTGACCTCGGGTTGCTTGCCGGAACGTCCCTTCGTTTCGGAAGACCGGTTTTCAACCATGGACCTTTATGGACAACCGGATCAGAACGTCCTGCTTTCGGTCGGATCAGAACGTCCTGCTAGATCGGGCCGACCGCGGCGACTCCGTGGGAGCTTCCCAGGCCATATGATCTTCAACATCATGGGCATCCTCGTGTGGTTCCCCGTGCCCTTCATGCGGAGAGTCGTCGTGAATGCGGCCTGCATGCTAGGCCGGGGTGCACCGCGAACAGGGGGCTGGGCATGTTCTCAGATTGTGCCACCAATGGGTCTAGTCCAGTGCCTTTTTAGATCGAGTGCCAAGTACTGCTTTCCTCTCCACCTATGAACAAACACGGCCGGTAACTTTTAATAGGGATATGTTTTTTAATAGATACTCGGGACTACGCGAATCTCGGTTTTTTGTTGGTTTTTGATTCACCGACCAAGGGAAGCAGGAAGCTCATGATGACATTCTTGCGGCTTTCAAGGGGAAGCAGACTCTCCCCCCTCTTCGTTTTGAAAGTGAACGTTATTGTGACCCTCTTGGCTGGGGCACGCTTCGCCACTGAGGGTTCTACGCTTCGTACTGGCGCTTAGTTCCTTTGCTCTACATCTTGGTGATGCCCCGTGGCCCGAAAACGGGAGGTGGACAGCGCTGATAGGTGCGGACCGCAGCTACTCAGGACTATATATATACTTGCTGAAGCACAGTGAAGCAGATCCACACCAGTGAAGGTGCTGAAGCAGCGAATGAAGATGACGGAAGTCATTTTGTGGCCCAAGCACATCGTATGAAGGTGCCAGCATCCTCAAGTGGCTTTTCATGAAAAAAAGGGCAGCTGCAAAGATGACACGAAGCCATGGAAAGTAGACTATCCAGGCATCATTGACCAAGAACTAGTCACTAACAAAACTTAAACTAGTCACTAGTCACTAGAATATCTAAACTAGACACTATAATTGACAGTCTACAGTTTCGCTAAAAGTTTTTCAACAGGTTTCCAACCCTTGCGGCTGTTTCTTCGACCCTGGGTCTGATCCAGAGAAACTTCATTGGCTGGAAACTTTGTGATCTTCTACAAGAACATATTGAACAGGCTACCACCTGCCGGAACACTTCCACATGACGCTTCCACCAAAGCGTGGCGTCGGTGGATGCTCTTACTGTTGTTTCGGGGGGGGATCCACCGACAGTGGCGGGTGCTCCTGTCATTGGATCCGTCGGGTGACCCAAAAAGCTCTTGGGCTCACCCACTTGGACCTGACTCCCACGGTGAGTCCCAACCGGGTCCGCTGTCTCAGGTTCTTAGCGGTGCCAGGCGGAAAGGGGCCGGCCGGTGGGTCTTTTGGTGTCGGTGGCCGTGGTTTCAAGGGGGAGACCGGCAGACGGGATGGGAAAGGCCTATAAGAAGGAGATCAAGAGATGATGTCCTGCAAGTCTTCCTGTCTAGACCACATCTGGGTTTATGACCATAGAGGGGCACAGCTCATGGCCATAGCGTCCTTTTTGGTCGATGACCCATGCAACAAAACGACCCTGTTTCTGCCAACGACCCATGAACGACCCACGATTTTTAGAGCTGCGGTCTAACCGGCGCTCCTTTCTAACCGGTGCCCGCAACGACCCCACGTCGTGATGGCCCATGGCCGGACACTCGTGCCAGAGATAGGACGTGAACGACGTCCGGCGGAGGCCTTTGCCTGGCCGTTTCAGTGCTCTATGG